AGTAAATCTGTGCAAATTTTCCAAGTATTTATAGTCTTTCATATGCCTTGCCTCTTTCTCTGTTACTTTCTTTTTCAACCTTGCATCAGATGATAAAATCTAATATTTTCAATGTTGTTTATATTTGACATATTCTGTGACTCTATATTTGATACCTATATTTCTTTTACTGTTCTTTCTCTCTATTGATTTAATTTTTAATTTTAATTTAATTGTGACAATAATATCCTTGACTTTTGCCCTGGAATGCTTTGAAATGATTATGGTTTGCTTTGTGACAAGCAATGGGCCATGAATTATTCCATCAAAACAGGCAAATAATATATTATCAGACAACATCTTTCCACACACTGTAGACAGAAAATCACCTGGCCAATGGACCAAGCTAGCAATCACTCACCAACTCAGCTGGTGACAGGTATATGGATAATATCAAGGAAATGCCAGATATGCCAAATTTTCCAATTCATGTAATAAAGGCTAGTGCATATACAGTGATTTTTTTTTTTCATGGCAGACTCTTTTCAAAGTGTTTTACACATATTAATCCATTTAGTTCTTGCCTCAACCCTAAGAAATAGTTATCACAATTCTGCAGGTTATAAAACTGAGACACAGAATGATGATATAGATCAATGTCACACAGTAATGAGGATTTAAACCCAAGCAGTCTAACTCCAGAAATGTTACTTTTACTCAATATGCAATACTCATTTGTATCAGCTTACTATTGCTTCTGTAAAAATCACCATAATCTCTATGGTTTAAAATAAAATTGATTTATTACCTTAAATATGCAGAGATCAGAAGTCTGAGAAGGTTTAATGGGGTTAAAATCAAGGGCTGCATTCCTCTACAAGCTTTAAGGGAGAATTTGTTCCTTGCCTTTTCCAGGTTCTAAAAGAAACCTGCATTCCTTGGCTTGTGACCCATTTATACATTTTTAAAGCCAGCAGCATCGCATCTTCAAATTTCTGTCTGAACCAGCTTCCGTGGTCACATTTCCTTCCTTGACTCTGATTCTCCTGCCTCCCTCTTATAAGGACCTTTGTGATTACATTGGAGCTAGCCACATAATTCAGGTCACATATGCAAATTCCAGTTTTCCATGGGAGCTCTGGTAGCATAGTGCCTAAGGCACTTGACTACTAACCAGAAGACTAGTGGTTCAAACCCACCAGCCACTCCCTGGAAGGAAGTTGGGGCAATCTACTTCTGTAGTGATTCTGCCTTGGAAACCCAAGGAGGGGTTGCTATGAGTTTCAGGGATGTGGACATATTATTGACATTTATTAACATTACTATTTTCTACCGCTATTATTGACATTTTATTAAACTCTATGGAGGTATATTTTCCTTGGAAGACCTCAATACTAGTCTTCTAATTTTCTAAATCATATTTCCTCTAAGAAGAGCAGCCCCCTCCCCCTTACACACACACACTTGCTGGCTTATGCACCATAATATTCCAGTGTGAAAAAGAAGTTTGCATTGAAGACATGGAAAAGTGTTTTGCACTAATTAGCAAGGCTCACAATCTTTCTTTCTCACACATCAGAGTTTGGGCAAGTCAGTGTAATTGGATTGTGAGCAAGTTTATAAAAAGCCAGAAATCTCTGAGCCACCCTTTCAACTAAAACAATTAACTCATGTTTCTAGGATTAAGTTTTGTTATTCCCTGGAAATAAAGCAGGAGCCAAATAGTGCAGTGGTTAATGTACTCCACTGTTAAGTGAACTGTCAGCAGTTTGAACTCCCTAGCTGCTCCACTGGGGAAAGGATGTGGCAGTCTGTTTCTGCAAAAATTACAACCATGGAAGAAACCCTCTGGAGCAGTTCTACTATGTCCTATGCTGTTGCTGTTGTTATGTGCCCTCGAGTTGGCCCCGACTCATAGCGACCCCTTCCTGGGTTTCTGAGGCAGTATCACTACGGAAGTAGATTGCCCAAGCTTCCTTCCGATGAGTGGCTGGTGGATTTGAACCGCCAGCCTTCTGGTTAGCAGTCAATTGCCTTAGGCACTGTGCTACCAGAGCACCTCTAGTATGTCCTATAGAGTTCCTATAAATCTGCTCAATCCCAGTGTTTTTTTTTTTTTGTTGTTGTTGTTGTTTTGATTTGGAAAGAAGAGTAAGGATTAGTTTGAGTCAAGCCTGTCAATATTAATAGAAGATTTACCTTATTTTTTAAATATAGACTTCATATGATCAATACAGTCACTAGTACATACTTCTTCTCAAAAGAAAGTACTTTGCAAGTTTTGTAAGTTTACTTCAGCAGGTTTTAAAATATGTCTTTGAATTCAAGGAGTTTGGAGAAAAGAGAATAAATGTCTTGTCTATTTCTCAAGCATTTCCTATCAAATAATTTAAAGTTGGCCTTCTTTTAGTTAATAGTAACTGCATATTCTCCCCCACACTTTCACATTGTTGTTGTTGCTATGTGCCGTCGAGTTGGACCCGACTCACAGTGACCCCTCCTTGGGTTTTCGAGGCAGTATCACTACAGAAGTAGATTGTCCACTTTCCTTGAGAGGAATGGCTGGTGGGTTTGAACCACCAGCCTTCTAGTTAGCAATGCAAAAGTTTTACATTTATTTTATTTTTCCAAGTATTTAGCAATAAAGTATGTAATAAGAATTGTCAATCTTTAAAAAAATATTTTTCTAAATGTTTCACAAAAAGATAAGTAGATGCTAGAAAGAAGAGTTAAAAACAACATGGAACTGTACCAATTTTCAGATGAATGAATGTGAACAAGATGCAGTGTGTGTACAACTCATTTTTATTCTAACAGCACAAGGATTAAAAAACAAACAAACAAACACAAAAGAAATAAAAAGAGATGTGTTCTTCTGGTTTCTGTAGGATACAAGTAACAAGTCCATAGGGATGAATTAAAATTCTATGGGCTGAAAAGTTCAACACTAAAGGCCTTTCAAAATGAGCCCTAACCAAGGGCCATCTCTAATTAGAAGAGATTCAAAGATAGATTTACTTTTATTTATGTGAAAAGACTAAAAGATCCACCATTTAAATCTTCTGTAAATATTCCAAAAATAGAAAGAATAATTTATATAATGCTTGTTAAAATGTCTTAGATTTGCTAATTTTATTTAAATTTATAATTCTATGTTGTAGTTCATCTGGAAATGTTATAAAGAATTAAGAATGTGAAAGATTTATTAAATAAAGCAAATGACAATCAAGTGCTAGTTCATTGTGAAACAAAAGACCATGGAATCCATGATCTCTTTTCAATAATTCTCTAATAACAAATTATAAATTTTGGATACCGGAAAGGATTATGGGGTGATTCCTGGTGTTTTTTTTTTTTTTTTTTTTTAAAGCTTGACTTGAGAATAAAAAACAAACAAACAAACACACTGCCTTAAAGTCAATTCAACTCATAGCAACCCCTCCTTGGGTTTCCAAGCTAGTGGCGTATTGCTTAAGACATTTGAGTGCTAACCAGAAGGCTGGTGGTTAAAATTCTTCACCAGCATTGGATCTAGATCTTAATTCTTACAAATTCTGCATGTAGGCTGTGATATTTGAGGTTGTATGTCAACCTGGCTGGACCACGATTCTGAGTGGTTTAAGCAGTTGTGATGTAGTTATTCCCATGATGAGATCAGATGTATATGCTCTAAGCAACCAATCCACTGAAAGAGAGTTTCTTTAGGAGTGTGGCCTGCTTCCAGTATATATATGGACATCCTGGGAAAGGGAGAGAACCTTGTGTGGATCTGGATCCTGTTGTGCTGCCTACAACTGTCCATGAGTGAACTATCCACCATTCTGCCTGGTGGTTTGGATTTGTCATCTGCTGAACAACTTACTTGTGCCTTCAGGTCCTGCTCAAGCTCCATCTTTTATGTACCACATCCATTTAATGATGGAGCGCTGCTGTGCACATCCAACTTTATGACTCTGTGGGTCAGATAACACCCACATGTTGGGTGTTGATAGTTCATGATAGGCATCTCAGGCCTCATACTGACTTGGTGGCCCATGGTTAGGCATTCAGTTTCTACTAAAGTCCAGCAACAATCCAAAAGCTATTTCTTAAAAGGACAAGTAGTTATTTGCAGAGGATGGCAGGGCTTTGCTCCAAAATCTTAAGGGTCTGTGTTAAGATTCACCAATGGGAAGCCTGCCAAAACTCCAAACTGCATCTCTGTCTGTCACAGACACTGCAAGTATCATTGGATCAGCTGGATCACGTGGCCCAAGTGGCAGAGCAGCTTGCATGCCAGCCTGAGCCCGTTGCAAAGCCTTCTGTTGTTCTGGGCCCCACTCAAAACTAGCAGCTTTTTGAGTCACTTGATAAATAGGTCAAAGCAACACACCCAAATGAGGGATATATTGCCTCCAAAATCCAAAGAGTCTCACCAGACATTGTGCGCCTTTTCAGTTGTATGGGAATCCAGATGCAGCAACTTATCCTTCACTTTAGTAGGAATATCTAGATACACCCCACACCAATGGACCCCTAGAAATTTCACTCAAGTAGAAGGTGCCTGAATTTTTGTCAGGTTAATGACCCATTCTCTAGCACCCAGATGTCTTAACAATAAGTCTAAGATCATTGATACTTCTTCCTTACTAGGTACAATCAGCATAACATCATCAATATAATGGACCAGCGTGATGTCTTGTGGAAGGGAAAAGTAATAAAAGTCAGTTGATATATCTCTGAGGAAGCATGGTGAATATATACTTTTGGCTTTGCCAGCTGAAGGCAAACCACTTCTGATAATTCTTTCCTAACCCTTTGAGCTGAAACATTGAAGGAAGAATCCGTACTTGTTGTTGTTATGCGCTGTTCATTTGGACCCGACTCATAGTGATCCCTCCTTGGGTTTCCAAGGTGGTATCACTGTGGAAGTAGATTGTCCAGCCTTCCTTCTGAAGAGTGGTTGGTGGGTTTGAACCACCAGCCTTCTGGTTAGCAGTCAAGTGCCTTAGGCACTATGCTACCAGAGCTCCTAAAACTTAAGGCCCTACTGGGAGTTGAACCCAGGATCTCCTGTTTACGAGACAGGAACTTTAACCAACTAATCCATAGAGCCACATGAATCCATACTTAGTGGGCCTAAATCAATTAACTCAGACTGATCCGATTTTACATTCCTTGCCCCATTATCTCACACCCTCAATAGCCATTCTCACAGATTTTGTCCAGGTTTCTGTCTGCATATGTCAGGAAAATTAAGTAGGCCTTTTTAGGAGTAGCATGCCAATTCCTCAGTCACATTTTGTATTTCACCTTTTGGGGCTCACTTGGACTTAAGTTTAGTTATAGGTCTAGAAGCAACAATGGGTGGTTGGGGCAGTTCTTGAGAACTTTCAGCAATGTGTGCCAAGACATCTACCTCAGGTAATGAGTCAGTAGGAACAGTTGGATTAATTCCATCAAATGGAGGTGGAAGAGATAACACATTTATAGTAATCTCTCCACATGGGAGGAATGGTGCTGTTCTCAAGAGGGATTCAACAGAATACAGGCTCCATGTCTTCATCTTCCTGATTGTCTGCTCATATGTCCCCATCCCAGGTCTCAGGATTCCATTTTTTTTCCCAATCAATACCCTTACTTTAACTTCAAACACCATTCTGGGTTAACAATTCCATTGAAGTTGCAATTCAGTCCCCCTTATGATAAGACTCTGGGTTTGCTTTTTGACAATATCAGCTCTGTTACTAGAAGAAAAAGTTTTTTTTCAGGGCACAACTGGAAACATTGAGGTCTTTTTTGCAGCACTTGAGCTGTGATTCAGCAGCCCTGAATTCATCTCATTCTTTTACCACTTTGTCTAGGGTAAGTAGGAACAACCAACCAGCTTCCTTATACTCCTCATGCTCAGAAATTTGCAGAACAGTATAAAAAATGTGATCATCCAGAGCCTCACTTCTCAAAAATACTTGATCTATTGGTGGCGCTATTTTGCATATTAATGTTGCCACCTCATGGCATAGATTAGCAAGGTCCTCTTTACTAATGGAGGCAGGGTCACCAGTGCCTTTACAATTAATCAGATTGGAGAACCAAAATGGAATTGGTGAGAACCAATTTAGGAAACCCATACTCTAGAATACCACTCCTAGTACCAGGTGTGTTTTTGGTAGGCCATTCCATTGTTCTATCAAGTCAGATGCTTCAGGATGATGGGGAGGAGGGTAAGATCAGTGAATTACATGAGAATTGACCCACTGCTATGAAGTGAGCCCCGTGATCCGAAGCAATGGTGTGTGCTTACCATGACAGTGGATAAGGCGTTCCATAAGTCCATAGATGGTAGTTTTGGCAAAAACACTGCATGAAGGGAAGGCAAATCCATATCCAGAATAAATATCTATTCCAATAAGAGTAAAACTGTCCTTTCCATGATGAAAGTGGCCCGATGTTGCCAGGTTGCTGGCTGATCGCCCTGAAGAATTGTTCCATATCGTGGACTCAGTGTTGGTCTCTGTAGCTGACAGATTGGGCACTCAGCCGTGGTGGTAGCCAAATCAGCCTTGGTAAGTAGAAGTCCTTGTTGCTGAGCTCATGCATAACTCCATCCCTGCCAATATGACAACTTTATTCATTAACCCATTGGGCAATGAGAGGAGTAGCTGGGGAAAAAAGAGGACTGGTTTCCACAGAATATGTCATCCTATCCACTTGATTGTTAAAGTCATCCTCTGCTGAGGTCACCTTTTGGTGGGCATTCACATGAGACATGAATATCTTTACTCCTTGGGCCCATTCAGAGAAATCTATCCACATACTTCTTCCCCATACCTCCTTGTCACCAATTTTCCAATCATAATCCTACCAAGTCCCAGACCACCCAGCCAAGCTGTTGGCCACAGCCCATGAATCAGCATATGATTGCACATCTGGCCATTTCTTGTTTCATGCAAAGTGAACAGCCAGATGCATGGCTCAAAGTTCTGCCCATTGGGAAAATTTCCCTTCACCACTATCCTTCAGGGACATCCCAGAAATGGGCTGCAGTACTGCTGCTGTCCACTTTTGAGTGTTTGGTGCCCACATATCAAAAAGAGCTATCTGTAAACCAAGCATGAGTTTTCTCTTCCTTAGTCAACTGATCATAAGGGACTTCTAATGAGGCCAATGGTGAAGACTGGAAGAGGGAAAGTCAATATAAAACTACAACAATCCAATTCTGATATTACTACTAATGGCCCAGACCCTTCAAGAATGAAGGTTTGAGTCACACTACCAGCCAAAGAACCATGAGGAGTTGAGGTTCTTGCTGAGGACAAGGGAAACAGAATGAGTGGTGGAAGAAGGTAGTTCTGAATATCAGCTACAACCACATTACCAGTTGAAGAAACAAGGACTGTGATTGTTATATTTCTTCATTCTATGTGTGCATCAAATATGTTTGTTTTCTTCAGTTATGAGCTATAAAATGTAAATAGGGTTAATGCATTTTCAGTTGTATGCATATTAGTGTATCATGTTAGGCATAAATATGACTTTATAATTGTCCTTATTTAGAGATTATATGTGGTTAAGGAGATGTGTTCCATGGCCAAGTTGACAAGGGGTGGACTGTGATAGTTGGGCTTGTGTGTCAACTTGGCAGGACCATCATTCTGAGTGGTCTAAGCAATTATGATGTGGTTATTCCCATGATGAGATTGGATCTATATGCTTTGAGCAGCCAATCCAATGAAAGGGAGTTTCCTTAGGGGTATGGCCTGCTTCCAATACATATATGGACATCCTGGGGAAAGGAGAGAACCTTCTGTGGATCTGGATCCTGTTGTGCTGCCTACAACTGTCCATGAGTGACCTATCTGACTGGAGATCTTGGATTTTTCATCCACCAAAATCAACAGCTAATATACTCCCTGCCAACCTTGCCCCTGCAGCTGCATGAGTTGAGAAAAGCCTCCAGCTTGACTTTTGATACAGGAACTTGGACTGGCCAGCTTTTGTAACAGTATGATACATTTTCCTAAGATATTTTTTTTTCTCTCTCTCTCCAAGCTTTACTGGTTTTGCTTCTCTAGAGAACCCAACCTAACACATACACCAATTTCTCTGCAATAATGTCACCAAACCACCTACATTCATGCCTATCCTGCTCAGAATAGTCTGCTGACATTTCAACTCTCTGGGTGTAAAATACCCCTCATCAGAATTAAAAGACTGAAACTGATGTGGCCTAAAATTGTTCACTGTTGGTA